ACATCGGGTGGGTGGCTCTGTGCCGTGCCAGGTGCAGGGTCTGTTGGCTGGGTGCTGGCAGGCTTGCACCTAGCACGGGCACCGTAGCCAGCCCGTGCCCCTTTAAGGGGTCCGGGGCCGGGAGGGGGGCAGTAGAGTTTCCCTAGTGTTGGCCAGAGTGGCCACCAGGGAAAGCTGGGGAGGGCTAGCCTCCCACTAGTTCGAATTAAGGGTCTACACAGCCCTTACTTCGAACTAGTAAATTCGAACTAGGCTTAATCCTTGTGCAATGAGGATTACCTAGTTCGAACTAAGTGCTCCGTTAGTTCGAATTAAGTTCAAACTAACGGAGCGCTAGTGTAGCGCCTATGAAAGTTAGTTCGAACTAACGTCCGTTAGTTCGAACTAACTTTGTAGTGTAGACATACCCTTTGTTCTGCTACTGCTACACCCTCCTCCCTTAACACCTTGTTCAATTTCTTTCTCCCCTCCCCACCTCCTGGAAACCAGTCCCAGGGGCTCCTCTTCCAATCTCACTCTCTTCCTCCCCTCCCCACTAGTCTCTTGTCTCAGTCTCTGTGCCCTGACAGTTTCAGGTTTATCCTTGTACCTTGGCTCCTCATTAGACCTGTCTTTCCTCTGCCCAGACCCATTTCCACCCACTGGTACCCAGTTCCAGTCTGCTTGTGCAGCTAGTCCCAATGTCTCCCCAATTCTGCATCCAATCTCAGTGCCCCCCCTTAACTGATAACTAGCTCCCTGCTGCCCCTCACTTGTCCCTTACTGGGTGTCCTTCATCGGGTTGCTCCCAGTCCCAGTCTCCTCTTCAGCTTCTAGTCTCAGTCGTGTGGTGTTACTCGTCCCTGGTTCCCATCATGACTCTGAGTCACACTTTGTACCTTTTGGTTCCCAGTCCTAGTGCCTGCCTTTCCAACTCCCAATCACAAAATCTACTCTTTCAGTCTGGCTTTTGTCCTCTTCACTTTCAAGTCAGAGGGCTTCCTGCATGGGCATCAGCAAGGAGAGTCATTGAGAGCACACAAAAGACAAGCTCTCTGCTTTCAGTTGCAGTGCCTGGCATTGTCTGAGCAGCTGGAAGGAGCAACTCTAAAAAAATCTGGCTTTGGCCTGGCCCCTGTGGGATAGCATGTGCAGTCACTCTGGATGGCATGTGCAGTCTGGGCACAGAGGATGAAGCATGCCCACAGAGGACAGAATAGTTGGAGATTTTAGCTGATATGCTCAATAGGGATTTTATAGAGTTTGTGCAAACTGAGATTTTTCAAAAACTTCTAGCTTGGCCAAATGTGGGTAGTTTTTCATAGGATCCACAAAAAGCACATCTGTGACACACAGACCAGATTTGACATACTTGCTCCAAAGTGCTGGAATGCTAGAGCTTCTTCCAGTAAAGGTCATGGGCCAATTTTTTAAAAGGCAGACATTGGGCATGGAAAAAATGTTGTCCTTTGGTAAAGTCTGACAAAATTGTAAGGAACTGAAAACAGAATCTTATAATCTAAAATGTCACACAATCTTAATATTAGTCAGTGTTACCAACCTCACCTATAATGATAAAATCAAATCATTCATAAGATATTGTAAATATCTGCCAAGAGTACTCTGTTGACACTCTTCTTTCACTCTCTATTATATATATAATGATATCTTATGGATGATTTAATTTATTATGATTAAAGCCGCTGACTGGCACATGTGTGATATTCCAGAAATCAGTAGGTTATCAGCTTCTACAGATTGGTGCAAAATGGTTATAATGAACATTGTCTTTTTTAGAATTCATTTGGAACTCAAAATCCACACAAAGCAAATTGAATGATTTGTAAAAATGTGGGCATACTGCTCAATTTGGGGTAAATGGTGAACTGCTTTCAAGGAAATCAAGGTGATTCGTGGATTTGAGTCAAAATCACATGCTAATGTGATTTCACCAAATGATCAGGTGAAAGAAATGTGGTGGGATGCACAAGTATCCCTTCACCTGCAATGCTTAAGTGAAACACTGCACGGTCTGAACCAAATTGTGAATGAAATTTAATAAAGCCAGTCCCACTAGTTCTCACATTACTCTGTTCAGATGACCTCAGTTATTGGATGAAAGGTGTCCATGCAATATGGGACATGATTCTACAAATTCTTAGTGTCCCGCAGCACCTGAGAATTTTGCTAGCATCAAATTCTTTAAAGGTCTTTCAGTGCACAATCCCTCACCATTGCTCTAGTGTCTGATATTTAAGGCTGTAATTCAGCTAGGTACTTAGGTAGGTGCCTAACTTTAAGTACATGTCAATGGGACTAAGCATGTGCTTAAAGTTAGGCATGTGTTTAAGTATTTTGCTAAACCAAGGTCTGTGGATAGAGCAAAAGCTCTTTGTGGGTATTAGTGTCTTACTATGATATCAGAGCTTTCATACCAGGGCATCATTTTTCTTTTGTGACATTGTCACACATCCATAGGATTGGTGTTATGTCCCCAGCTTTGGAACACTTTCAGTATGTTAGACCTAGTATGCCACAGGTCCCACTTTTTCTCTTTGGTAAGCCACATGGTTTTACTGCTTCCTTGGACTGGACTACTGGGCTTTCAGCACTCTGGCTTCATCCATGAGTTCCATACAGCAAGTGTAATTGAGACAGAATTCTGATGGAGATGTGTACACTCTTCAGGGATTAATGCACCTCATCAAGCATTTGCAGCAACATACCAGGCAGTATTGTCAAAACAGTCAGGTTTATTAGTTAACTGGAATGCAGGATAATAAGTCCTTAAGTAGTATAGAGAACTGAAGGTTAAAGCACAGTCCATTCTTGTTAGCCCAGAGTCCAGTCAAGCTGAAGAGAGCTACTTGGTTTAAGTGCTGTCTAACATCCTTCATCTGGCTCCTGGTGAGTGTCCTGAATACTTTCAGCAGCCAATTCTTATTTTCCCATCTCATGCCTCTGCAGTCCTTTGTTCTCAGTTGGGGAATAATGCTCAACCTCTGTGTTGAAAGGTGGAGATATCCAAATCTCTCTGGGTCGTTGTCTATGTCTGGGCAATTGGATTTGCCATTGTTTTTTCAAATGCTCACTCTTATGAAGACCAAACCTTAGACTGCTAAGCAATACCCAAACCCGTGTCTCAGACTACCCCGAGAGCAAACAGTCCTTTTCCATCGGCTGGGTAACAATGGAGCATATAGGGGAAATTAAGAGAAAAACAAGGACTCCTAAAGTATTACAAAATATTCCTACTCCTTCCCAGACATGCAAAGTGAATGATAAGAATTTTAGCAGCTCTTTTTTTGTCCTGTGACTTGTGTAAATGAATAGTAGATGGATAATAGGAATGTTTCTCTGTTTAGGGTTGAGGTAAAAGAATTTGATGGAGAATCATTTGTTCATGTTGCCATGCTCAGGGAAGTTACTGAAAGGGACCTCAACAGCAACTTCATCTGCTTTGCTAACAATTCTGTGGGAAACTCGACAGGAGTGCTTAAGCTAAAAAGGAAGGAAAGAGGTAATTTATTTTGATCACGGTCACTAATATGCTGGTCATTATCATTGTCCGCTATTGTTCAATAAGTTATCCTGACACTGTTCTGGTTTTGGTGTTGCTCAGTACAGTGTCTAATTCAGTGCTTGTGAATGGACCTATGCATCGAGAAAGCCAATTGTCCTCTGAATTCCCGCCATTCTTTGTGAATCTGTCATTTTACCAGTTTATTCAGGGAAAGCTTTTCATCCTGAAGCAAGTGGCTAGTGACTTGGTTTGGAGTGACAGGGGGAGAGGGGCAGGACTGGTGGTGGTTGTGCTGCAAAAAGTAAACACAGAAGGTTCCAGAATATCTGGCACCAATGGGTGAAATTCATATTCCCTGTTATTTCCACCTTCCCATTTTAATCATTTCATAGCCTCTAAGAACTCTATTAAGGGGGCAGCAATATCTGGCTCTCCAAAAGGTTTTTACCACCTCAGTAGTTAACATTTAGGGTATGTCTAGACTACATGCCTCTGCTGACAGAGGCATATAAATTAGACATACCGACATAGTCAATGAAGTGGGGATTTAAATATCCCCATCTTCATTAGAATAAAAATGGCCACCACGTTGTGCTGGCTCAGCTGTTTGTTGGCATGAACTGGCAGTCAAGATGGGGATTGGTCGACAAGGAAAGCCTTTGCCGACCGATCCCTTATACCTCGTGAAACGAAGTTTACAGGATCGGTCGGCAAAGGCTTTCCTTGTCGACCAATCCCCATCTTGACTGCCAGTTTATGCAGACAAACAGCTGAGCCAGTACAACGCGGCGGTCATTTTTATTCTAATGAAGCAGGGGATATTTAAATGCCCGCTTCATTGACTATGTTGGTATGTCTAATTTACATGCCTCTGTCGGCAGAGGTATGTAGTCTAGACATACCCCGACATACAGCTGAGCCGACACAACGCAGCAGCCATTTTTATTCTAATGAAGTGGGGGATATTTAAATCCCCGCTTCATTGACTATGTTGGTATGTCTAATTTACATGCCTCTGTCGGCAGAGACATGTAGTCTAGACATACCCTTAATGTCTAAACAATGACTGTAGACAAGGTGATAGCTTCATGGAATGGACAAACATGCTGCCTTAAAGATGTCCCCACAGAAACAGTTGTAGGCTCCATTGATTAGAAAGGTATCCAATGGATGGAAATGATGCCCCCTTTCAGAGTTTCCCTGAATTTCTCCTAATTAGGCTTCCTGAAATTCCGTCTTCTTTTCTCTAAGCTTCTCACAATGGATGAATGATGGCCCATGTGGAAAGTTGTCCAGGACAACAAAGCTAGTTGTGGATGACCATCTAATGATGAGACCGTCTAGTAAGAACATCTTCAGTGCCCATCTGGCCAAGATGACAATGAACTATTGCAGTTAGTGCCTCCAACCACATTTTAATACAGTCTGTTTTGAATGTGTTCCACCTCCACAAGAAAAGTACCAAATTTGAGTTAGACCTCTTCCTCAGAGGAAAAGGACTGAAATGTGAGGCAAAATTGATCTATGTTGGCATCATACTGGACTACTGCTTGAATTTCCATGACCATCTAAAAAGACTTATCTCACAAACAGAATCAGCAAATTAGCCAGTTCAACCTGGTGCACAAAAAGTGCACAGACACTCTGAACATTGGCTTTGGCCCTAAGCTATATCTTAGAGAACACTGTTCCCTTGTGTGGTGATGTTTGCCTCACATAATCTTGTCAATCTTGAATTGAATTAGACTATGCATGCCCCGCATTTCTGTTCCGTGGCTACCAGTTCTGAGCAACATAGCAGAGCTGTGTGGTGGGACTGGGCTGCTGCAGATCCCACTGGACCCTTAGCCATTATAACGGGACCAGGTAAAATGTTCTTTGTGGTGACTGTGATTGGATGGGCAAAACCGCCCAGACTGTAGTAACTTGTGGAAAAGCACTTTAAAACTTTTCGTATTTCACTTTAAAGAAGGAATGAAAGATCTAATGTCTGTTCTAACAGGAATTAAAGTGTTTTGCATGACATAAGCAAGATTTGTTTTATTCTTTTAGGGGTAAAAATTGTCTCAATTCTATTATGTATATTACACCAATGTGTATTTTTGTTTGTTTTACAATAGACTTGCGGAGTCTGTCTCTCTAGTGGGATTTGCAGAATCTCAGGTTTTTGTGGGTGGGAGTGGGATAAAAATACAAGGAGCAATGAGGGAGTGAGTTGGAATGGTATTGCAGAGCAGGACAGGAGAAGGATTAAAAAAATAGTCCTGCACAGAGTCTACAACATAGCCCCTTCTTACATTCATTGCAGAGTCTACAGCCAGACTGGTGGAAAAACTAAGTGTCAATCTAGGTATCCCACTGTACACTGACATTTTCAGTCACCCTCAAGCACCTCTTAACTGTGGAGTCTGTTGCAGACTCAGCTGCCAGATCGGAATCTCTGAGCAGCACCCTGATTGTGCAGTGAGTGGCCAGCTAAAGACATTTGGAATGGTTTCCTTGTCACAGATCCAAACCATTTGATCCTGGGATTTGACCTGCCACATCACCTTTGGACACTTCTGAACAGGTTCCAAACTCGCCAGGATATATGTGCAGCCAAGCTCTGCATGTGCAGTCTGTGAGACAACCCACTTTGTTCAAGTGGTTTCCATCAGTCAACGGTGCATATTGTCAACTAGTGTCAGGGGACTAGATTTCATGGTGGCATTAAGGTCCTTCATTCTGGGGATGAAACTGCCGTTGGGTGGCTCGGCAAGCATTGCAAACACTAGAAGAATCCTCAGCATGCACTTCTCATGCAAATGACCACACTTCTTTAACGTTTGGCAGTGGGCAGGAGCAAATCTTGTCAGTCAGCTTAGTCCCCATCCCTAGCATTAGCATATCTTGTAAATGTCAGGGTTTTTTGTAAACATTGCATTTTAACAGCAATAATTTTGTTCTTACAGCACTTTTCAAATACATATTGCCTAGTGTGATTGCACTTCTAGTTGGACTCTTGTTGGGCAGTGCGTTTGTTTACCAGCATTGGATCGAAATAGTGCTGGTGTATCGAAATTACTTGGCCAAGGATGAAACTATTGGAGGTAAGAAAAATAGAACTATGACAGAGAGTTTTTTTAATTCAACTTTTTAAATTGTTGTTTGAAATATTTGCTAACCCTTTACTTAAATGTGTTAAATCATATTGGGGTGACTTTCCATTGACTTCAGTGGTCTTTGACTCAGGGTCTTAGAGAAACTGGAACACGTGGGCCAGTACATATTTACTGACTAAGTCTTACAATGAGCGATTTACAGTATCAATCATTTAACTGGGCTGGAACACGTGGGGCAGTACATATTTACTGACTGAAGGCTTACAATGAGCGATTTACAGTATCAATCATTTAACCGGGGAAAATCAGAGTAGGAGACAAAACCCCATAGACAGAGGAGTGAGGTGTTTCCCTTATTTTAAAAAGAGGTTCTCACACCATTTCCTAACTTAACCTCAGATTAAACCAGTAGATTATCAGAGTGAGGAAATAGAGACATCTAATCATTTATTTGCCTATTTAATCAACATGATTTCTCATGAATATAACCAAGGAGTGAGACAATGTTACTTGATAAATCAACTTACAAGGGCACTTATTGGAAATATTTATATTTTTTTCTCTAAAGAAATACATGTTGGTCATAGTAATCAAATTCTGTTCATGAATATTTCAATAGCAACCCCAGGCCTCCACCAGAGTGGGGCTCCCAAGTGCTACAGTCTGTAAAAATGTGTAGGAAGTCTCTCTTCCTGCCTCAGATTGCTTACAAAGCTAATTTGCGGTGGAGCAATCTGGTGGTTTCTACCATCAAGGCTTTTTTCTGAAACACACCTGGCCCTGAATTCAAGCGAGTATATTCAAAGGGCAATTAATGAATTACTCTTTAGAAAAGTGATCCCAGTCCATTCCTGGGATAAAGAGGTGTTGACTCCTGGAGAGGTAAAGCATCATTTCTGTATCTAGTTACTGACTGATTATTCCCACTGTCCCTTACAGTCACTCCACCATTCTTTTCCTGCCCTACATGCTCTCTCTCTTCCATTTTCCTATTCTTTCCATCACTAGGCACAGTCTCCTCTCATTTCATTTGTTGACACTCCAAAATTCCCCCACGATACTGCGTCACAAATGTGATGTTTGCCAATCATCAGCCTGATCACTTTGCTTGTACCTTATATCTCTTCCTAGCAACTCTTTGTTTTTCCATTTAGATTGCAAGCTCTTTGGCCCAGAGACCGTTTGTAGTGTGCTTACCATAGTATCGTGATAGAGATGCAGCCGTGTTTAGTCTGGTCTAGCTGAAACAAAAGACAGGACTATGCAGCATTTTAAAGACTAACAAGATGGTTTATTAGGTGATGAGCTTTTGTGGGCCAGACCCACTTCCTCAGATCAATATCTGGTAGGAAATTGGCACAACCATATATACCAAAGAGATACAATAAAAAAAAAGTGAACACATATAAAATTGATGAATCAGATATAAGAACAAAGGAGGGTGAGGAGGGAAGGTTAGTGTCTGTGAGGTAATGACATTAGGGGTGATAATTGGGGAAGCTATCTTTGTAATTGGTGAGATAATTAGCATCTTTGTTAAGACCCATACGTAGTGTCAAATTTAAGCGTGAACGACATTTCTGAGGCTTCTCTTTGAAGTCTTGTGTTAAAATCTCTTTGAAGCAATATGCAAGTTTTAAAGTCATTGAGAGAATGGTCAGTCTGGTTAAAATGGCAAGCAGCAGTTTTCTCTCTGTGAGAGAGCCTGATGTCTGTTTTATGTGCATTGATTCTTTGGCGAAGTGTCTGAGACGTTTGTCCAATGTATATAGCAGACGGACACTTTAAGCACATGATGGCATACATTATATTTCTGGATGAACAGAAATATGTGTTCTTGATCTTGTAACTGGCATGGTTAGGTCCAATAATGGTGTAAGCAGAGTAAATATGTGGACAAAGCTGGCACCGGGGTTTGTTACAAGGGAAAGTTCCAGGGTTGGTATTAGTGTGGTATGTCCTGTGGTTGTTGGTAAGAATCATCCTGAGCTTAGGTGGTTGTCTATAGGAGACTATGGGTCTGTCTCCCAGAGCCTCTCGAAGGGTAGTATCCTGTTCCAGTATAGGTTGTAGTTTATTGATAATGTGTTGGACGGGTTTCAGTTGGGGGCTATAGGTGATGACAAGTGGTGTTCTATTGTTGGTTTTCTTGGGTCTGTCTTGAAGTAGATGGTTTCTGGGTATCCGTCTGGCTCTTTCAATTTGTTTTTTTATTTCTCTGGGTGGGTAATTGAGGTTTATAAATGCTTGGCAGAGATCCCAAAGTTTCTGGTCTCTGTCAGTGGGATTAGAGCAGATGCTCTAAGGGCTTGCTATAGACGATGGATCATATGGTGCGTCCTGGATGGGAGCTGGAGGCATGTAGGTGACTGTAGGAGTCAGTGGGTTTTCTGTAGAGAGTGGTATCTAATTTACCATTGGTGATTTGTACTGTGGTGTCCAGGAAATGGATCTCTCGTGTAGAATGGTCCAGGCTGAGCTTGGTGGTGGGGTGTAGGTTGTTAAAGTCTCTGTGGAATGCATCCAGTGTTTCTTGGCCATGGATCCAGATCATAAAGATGTCATCGATGTAGTAAGTGGAGAAGGGGCAAAAGGGGACGGGATCTGAGAAAACGTTGTTCTAAGTCAGCCATAAAGATATTAGTGTACTGTGAGGCCACGCAGGTACCCATGGCTGTGCCGCTGATCTGGAGGTATAAGTTGTCCCCAAATTGGAAATAATTGTGGGTGAGAACAAAGTTACATAGGTTTGCTACCAGATTTTCAGATTGTCCTCTGGGATAATGTTTCTAATTGCTTGTAATCCGTCTTCATGTGGGATGTCGGTGTATAGGGCTTCTACATCCATGGTGGCAAGTATGGTGTTATCGGGGAGGTAATCGATGTTTTGTAGTTTCCTTAGGAAGTCAGTAGTATCTCGGAGATAGCTGGGGGTGTTGGTTGCGTAGGGTTTGAGAAGAGAGTCTACATAGCTGGATAAACCAGTAGTGAGCGTGCCAATACCAGAGATGATGGGACGTCTGGGGTGTCCAGGTTTATGGATGTTCAGAAAGTGTTTTTGTGTGGATTTGGTCCCGAGAAGAGGAAGGGAGTTCTTTAAGGAGATAGTGTAGTTTCTTTTGGTATTCTGAAGTAGGATCAGAGGAGAAAGGCTTGTAAAATGTGGTACTGGAGAGTTGTCTAGTTGCTTCCTGGTCATAGTTGGACTTATTCATAATGACCACAGCACCACCTTTGTCAGGTGGTTTGATTATAATGTCCGGGTTGTTTTTGAGACTCTGGATAGCATAGTGTTCAGCACGGCTGAGATCATAGAATCATAGAATCATAGAATAATAGGACTGGAAGGGACCTTGAAAGGTCCAGCCCCCCACCCTCAAGGCAGGACCAAGCTCCGTCTACACCATCCCTGACAGATGTCTATCTAACCTGTTCTTAAATATCTCCAGAGAGGGAGATTCTACCACCTCCCTTGGCAATTTATTCCAATATTTGACCACCCTGACAGTTAGGAATTTTTTCCTAATGTCCAATCTAAACCTCCCCTGCTGCACTTTAAGCCCATTACTCCTTGTCCTGTCCTCAGAAACCAAGAGGAACAAATTTTCGCCTTCCTCCTTGTGACACCCTTTTAGATATTTGAAAACCACTATCATGTCCCCCCTTAATCTTCGTTTTTCCAAACTAAACAAGCCCAGTTCATGAAGCCTGGCTTCATAGGCTTCTCTAGACCTTTAATCATTCTTGTCGCTCTTCTCTGTACCCTTTCCAATTTCTCCACATCTTTCTTGAAATGTGGCACCCAGAACTGGACACAGTACTCCAGCTGAGGCCTAACTAGTACAGAGTAGAGCGGCAGAATGACTTCACGAGTTTTGCTTACAACACACCTGTTGATACAACCTAGAATCATATTTGCTTTTTTTGCAACAGCATCACACTGTTGACTCATATTCAACTTGTGGTCCACTATGACCCCTAGATCCCTTTCCGCCATGCTCCTTCCTAGACAGTCGCTTCCCATCTTGTATGTATGGAACTGATTGTTCCTTCCTAAGTGGAGCACTCTGCATTTCTCCTTATTAAACCTCATCCTGTTTACCTCTGACCATTTCTCTAACTTGCTAAGGTCATTTTGAATTATGTCCCTATCCTCCAAAGAAGTTGCAACCCCACCCAGTTTGGTATCATCCGCAAACTTAATAAGCGTACTCTCTATCCCAATATCTACATCATTGATGAAGATATTGAACAGTACGGGTCCCAAAACAGACCCTTGAGGAACTCCACTTGTTATCCCTTTCCAGCAGGATTTAGAACCGTCAGGTGGTTCCTTAATTGGATAGCGTGAAGCAGAGTCTCTCACTGTAGCCAGTACAGTATGTTGATCTTAATGGGTTGTTCACTTTCAGTCCTTTGGGTACGACCCTTATCTCAGTTGCTATCATAACAATTCAACTACCACCAATGATTTATAATATGGCTACAGTGACCTCCACTGGTGAAATGAGAAAATGCAGACTTTTAGTGCAAAGGATTCTTTACCATTATTTTCATGGGGTAGCTGAGTTAGTCTGTACAGGATAAACTTAACACTTTAAAGACTAACAAAACATGTAGATGGTATCATCAGCTTTCGTGGGCACAGCCCACTTCTTCAGATGACCAGAGTGTTGGATGTTCAGAACTAAAATAAATAGGGAAGAAGCGGGGGGAAGGAAAAAAATGGGAGAGAGGGAAACAAGAAGAGGCAGTGGGTATACAAATATCAAGGGGAAAGCTGAGCTGGAATGTTAGAGGAAAAACAAATAATCTATAAGCACCTAAAGACTGGATAGTCAAAAGAGGCAGATAAGAACCATTAGTTTGCACTAGAAAAGGAAGAGTACTAACACCAGATACTATACAGAAAAAGAACCATTGACATCTTCATTGTTTGGTAGGTTGGTAATGTCCCAGCCACCTTTATTTAATCCATTAGCATGAGTATCAAACTTGTGAATAAATTGTCCTCCTAGTCCTTCCCTTTGTATTTGGCTTGTGGAATTTATCTGTAACAAAACAGCCACTTGAAAATCTGTTAATGAGTGCCCAGGCAGATTGAAGTGTTCCCCAGCAGGTTTTTGTATGTTCCCTTTACAGATATCTCGTTTGTGTCCATTAATTTTTCCCGTAGGGACTGTCCAGTTTGTCCAATATATATCGCAGTGGGGCATTGTTGGCATTTGATGGCATAGATTACATTCCTGGATGTGCAGTTAAGTGAACCTCTGATTTGGTGGCTTATGTGGTTGGCTCCAGTGATGAATTTGCTTGTATAGATATGTGGGCAGAGTTGGCATTAGGGCTGATTGCAAGGCTGGGTTCCTGGATGTTTATGATGTAGCTGTGTAGCATGGTTACTGAAGAGAATTTTTTTCAGGTTGAAGGGTTGTCTGTAAGCGACAATAGGCCTTTCCCCCAAAGCCTCTGAGGGTACGTCTACACTGCTGGTTTTGCTGGCAGTGAGTATGCAAATGAGGCATGGACTAGCATACAGCCATGCCTCATTTGCATCATGTATGCACGCCATTTTTACACAAAGGGTTTTTGTGGAAAAAAATGTAGTGTGGACATGGGTTTTTTGCGCAAAACCCCCGTTGTCCACAAGATCTTTATGCTCCAAAAAAGGAGGTTTACCTATCTTGCGGAAAATGGGGGTATTTTTGCTCAAAAAACCTACATCCACACTACTTTTTGTCCACAAAAACCCTTTGTGCAAAACTGACGTACATAAATTATGAAAATGAGGTATGGCAGTATGCTAATCCAAGCCTCATTTGCCTACTCACTGCTGGCAAAACCAGCAGTGTAGAGGTAGCCTGAGAGTGAGGGATCATTTTCCTAGATAGATTGTGGATAATGCATTGGAGGGGTTTAAGTTGTGGACTGTAGGTAATGACAAGTGGACTTCTGTTTTTTTCTCTTTTGGGTCTGTCTTGAAGTAGTTCATGTCTGGGTACTTTTTTTGGCTCTGTCAATCTATTTTTTTACTTCTGCAGGTGGGTATTTCAGTTTTAGGAATACTTTATATAGATCCTGTAGGTGTATGTCCCTATCTGTGGGATCGGAGCAAATCTGGTTGTATCTTAGGGCTTGGCTCTATACAATAGATTGAGAAATGTGTCTGGGCTAGAAGCTAGAGGCATGAAGGTAAGTGTAGTGGTCGGTGGGTTTCCGGTATAGGGAGGTGAAAATTTGTCCATTATTTTGTCCATTACTGTAGTGTCCAGGAAGTGGATTTCCTGTGGAACTGGTCCAGGCTAAAGTTGATGGTGGGGCGGAAGTTGTTGAAATCCTTGTGAAATTCTTCAAAAGTCTCTTTTCCATGGGTCCATATGATGAAGATGTCATTGATGTAGCCTAAGTAAAGTAGGGGTGTTGGGGGCGGGAGCTGAGGAAACGTTGTTCAGGGTCAACCATAAAGATGTTGGCATATTGTGGTGCCATGCGGGTGCCCATGGCTGTGCTGCTGACTTGAAGATACAAATTGTTTCCAAAACGGAAGTAGTTATGGGTGAGGACAAAGTCGCAGAGCTCTGTAACTAGGTGTGCAGTGCTGTTATTGGGGATGGTGTTCCTGATGGCCAGTAATCCCTCTTCATGTGGGAATGTTGGTGTAAAGGGCTTCTACATCCATAGTGGCTATGATGGTATTTTCAGGTAGATTACTTATGTTTTAAAGTTTCCTCAGGAAGTCAGTAGTGTCGTGGAGGTAGCTAGGAGTGCTGGTAGCATAGGGTCTGAGGAGGGAGTCAATATAGCCAGATAATCCTGTTGTATGGTGCCAGTGCTGGAGATGATGGGTCGTCCATGTTTTCCAGGTTTGTATATCTTGGGTAGCAGATAGAAAGCTCCTGGTCGGGGATTAGGAAGGGGTGTTAGTGTAAATTTGTTCCTGAGCAGCATCAGGTTGCTTCATGAGCAGTTGTTTCAAGGTTTTTTTTTGGTATTCTTTAGTGGGATCCCAGGAGAGAGACTTGTAGAATCTGGTAATGGTGAGTTGTCTGGTTGCCTCCTGATCATTGTCTGTCCTGCTCATGATGACTACAGCACTTCCTTTGTCAGCCTCTTTGATTATGATGTTAGGATTGTTTTTGAGGCTGTGTATAGCATTGCGTTCTGCATGACCGAGGTTGTATGTTATATGTTGTTGTTTGCTGACAATGTCAGCTCAAGCATTTTTGCAGAAGCAGTTGATGTAGAAATCAAGACTCTTGTTACGACAGTTAGTGGGGGGTCCACATAGAAGCTATCCTCTTGTGGGATCGGTGGGGGAGAGCAGAAAGATCAGTGTGTTGTACATCGGTGTGCTCGAAGTATTCCTTCAGGCGGAGGCAGCGAAAATAGGATTCCAGATCCCCACAGAACTGAATCATTTTCATAGGAGTAGTGGGGCAGAAGGAGAGTCCTCGAGGTAGGACAGATTTTGACTATCCAGTCTTTAGGTGCTTATAGACTATTTGTTTTTCCTGTTACATTCCAGCTCAGCTTTCCCCTTGATATTTTTATACCCACTGCCTCTTCTTGTTTCCCCCCTCCTCCCATTTTTTTCCTTCTCCTCCTTCCTCCCCCCCCCC